ACCGGAGAGGTGGGAAATCGGGCAGGCCTCTGCTCGCTCGTTGTGGCCAGACCTCAGAAATGTCCCTAGCTTTCTGAAGGAAAAAGGAATGAAAATAAAAGTTTACATAATCTTTTGATGTGAAGTGCATTTAAATGTTTATTGGCTTGATGCAGTAAAATAGACACAGAGCTGTTAATAATGGTTGTGTAGATTAATGTGACTTAACTGCAATTCATAACTGTCATTGGAAAAATCATCTTTTTTAGAAAAGAAGTCATAACTTATTTTAATAGCAAACAGGGCTCACTGTTTCCATTACCATTTCAGAATAATACCCATGTTCTGAAATCCAGAAAGTGTACTTGTGTATGATGCCATATTTCTTTTACAGGTGAATGCAGTCTTCACAGTAAATAAGAATAAAACTATCGATATCCCAACTTTATATTCCAACAATAAAATAGCTATTGTTGATTCTGTGCATTGTACTTGTCATTAGTTACCAAATTGGAAGATACTTGTTCTGTTTTTTCAGCTCTGTGGGGGTTAAAAAAAAAAGTTAAACCACTAGCATGGATGTTACGGGCCTGCAAGCGTCAGCGCGGTGGCTTGTGCGCTCTGCCCAGGGTGGTTTGCTCTGCAGAAGAAGCGTCGGGTGTGACTGTCCTTGCGTTCTCAAAGCCAATAGCACAGCTCCGTCGCCTGGATCGCAGTGAGCTGACCAGCTGGGTGGTTGCTCCAGGCTGTTCCTCAGCTCTGATGTACCTCAAGGTGGACTCGGTCTGTGGCAGCAACAGCCAGCTTGCAGTGACTGCTTTTAACTGGGAAGCGAACATGATGTGAAGTAACCTTTGGCGAAGCCACCTCATTCCCTTCGTGCTCGTGTAACTCTGCAAGTCCCAGACGTTAAACCTGAAGTTTAGCCCTTTCACTTACGTTACTCACGTGTGCTTTAAACGATAAAACTGTTCAGTATCTACCCGGTTGGTAGTTGCTGTATTACGTAACTACAGGTATATCAATTACTATGTAATACTCTCTTTCCAGTAATGCAAACGCTTGTAATTACTTGAATAAGTTTTATTTGAACTATGGGTACTTTTTTACACTTAAGGAATATTTAAATGGAAACCTGATTGCATTTTCTGCTAAATCTAAGCTTAAATCTTGGCCCGTGTATGAAATCCAAAGCTGTCTTATCCCTGCCACTTGGTTGTTTTTCTACATTGGGAATGTAACTCTTGTTCCATACTTTGGCATTGTTGAATATTTTCTGTCCTTTTATAGTCTGTTTCCTTTCATCTCGGCGCTGCGCTCGGGTCTCATGTTTAACAAATGTAATCTGCGTTATGTACTGTCCTGAACCATAGCGTGGGCAGACAGATGAAATAGCAGTCAATTGTCTTCATTTTTCTTTGAAGCACTTCAGTACTTTCTTTTTGAGTCTGTTTAAATCATTGTGCCATGAAATGCATCTCTTACAGCCACTCTGGATAAGCAATATATTGTACTGTAAATACAGCAATTGCTGTCGTAACTTGGAGTTAAAATGTCTGGATGGTAAACCAGTGCCTGTCTGATATAAACTGGAAAAGGTCTTCATCCTAAGGTGCTGTTTCAAAAGAAACTGTTTCCTGCTTTGATTCTGGGAAATTGTGAAATACCGTGGACAAAACGTTGCTATGCTACATTGAGATCCAAACAGTGATTTTCGGTCTGTCAGGGATGTCCATGCAACTCCTTGGGTTTGGTTGTCAATGTAATTGTAAATATGTGGAACTGTATGTGTTGTGGTGTCTGAAGCTGAAGTCAACCTGCTGGTGGTCGGGGCGGAGAGGGAGGGCGAGGGTGCGCACCAGGCTGCCGCGAGCTTTCCCTGGCTGAAACCCACTGCACGCTGGCGAAGGGCGCGAGCGGCAGCCTGGCTGAGGTGTCTGAACGGGATCGCCACCAGCCTCACAAGTGAATGACTGACTAAATGCAATAAAAGACTGATAGACAACACTATTGCTCTGTTCATCACTTTGATTATGCATTTTGTTTGTTGTAACTTTGAGTACATGCATTATGTAATTTGTAAAAGGGCGCTGTAGTGGAGACCTTGCTACAACACTATTACAAATCTTCCCTTTTTGTGAGATGAGGTTTGTAGAATAGTGAGATTCTTTCGTATGTTGAACCTTAATCTGTTCCTAATGGTGGGAGTGCTGAAGTAATGTATCTCACTGTGACCTGGTACTTCGGTATTTGCATAAAATGGCAGTTCTGTATATTCTTTTGGCTAACTGTAAATATGAATGTTTCGTATTAGCGTAGTTGAATTTTTGAGGTACAGCCATTTGTGTGAGATTAGAAAAAAAACTATTTCTAAGAACTTGTGTAAAAAAAAAAAAGTATTTTCAATAAAATTCCCTACCTCACCTCTACTGTGCAGAAATGATCCCCTTTGCCTATGTTTGATTTTCCAACCTCATTTGTAAACGCAGAGCAGATCCCTTTTCAGTTATTGGCAAAACATTGCTGTTTTCATCAAATCAATCAACAGAATGCTTCCAAGTCTTGTTTCCTTTGCTTCCTTTACGTTATGATGATCAGGTATTTGATACATGAAAAGCAAATTCTAGAGATTTTATGCAATCTTAAACTGCTCCCTCACTTTGCCCTGGGGGTGAGAGCCTGTATCCTGTGATTTTATTGTACAAGGGCTGGGTGTGCTTGATTTTTTTTTTTTTTTTGGCAGTGGGGAGCTGGGGGGAAGGGGTGAGGGGCTGCGTGACAGGAGTTTACTATTGATCTTGGGGCGAGAGGTTCCCTGTCCTTGTTTTGCAGTGAAGGGGACTGAGCAAACACTTTGTTTCCTTTCTTTAATTGGGATGTCAATGCACATTCCCATAATCAGTTTTAAAAATAAATAAATGTCTTAAAAGACTTGGAAGTTATGCCAAACTGAGCTAACTAATTAATTCCTCCTTTCTCTGAAATGCTTATCTCCTTACCCCTTTAAAAAAAAAAATAATACCAGGAGTGTTTTCTCACATTTCTAGGGGGAATGACCCTTTCTTCCATCCCAAGGTGGATATAGCAAACCCAAATCAAATTTTTAACCTTGAAAGTTTCAGTACTTGGGTCTGATTCCTCTATATTCCTGCACTTATACCATTTTTGTGACCATAGTTCAGAGATTGTGTTCTATGACACCACCTATAAAATTCACTTTCTGGGGCTGTCTCATGGTGTGGATGCCTGAGGGAAGTGGAAAGGAGGGGAGAAAAGGCACTCTGCTGGGCGTACTGGCAGCCCTTCCTCGGGAAAACTCTTATGCTTTTTTAGTTATTTCCAAGAACCAGAGTTTTGATGGGAGCGTGGCAGAAAATAGCATCAGTTCCT